CATTTCACCTTCTGACCCACCCTTCCAGCCACCAACCGGATTCATCCCTCCCATTGACCAACCAGGTCGTACCTACTACCAGTGTCCACCTATCACCACCATTCCACTACCACCCCCCCCTTACCCCAGCATCCAATCCTGAAGAAGGGTAATACCTGAAATGTTGACTGCTCCTTTCCTCCAGATGCTGCCTGGCCTGCTGTGTTCTTCCAGCCTCCTGTTTGTCTACCGTATTGTTACACACCCCTGGATCAGGTGGGACTTGAACCCAGGCCTCTTGGCTCAGAGGTGGAGAACCTACCACTGCACCATAAGAGCCCACAGAATCATTAGCCTGGATCTCTAGATTATTGGTCCAGTGATGATACCAGTACACCACCATTTCCCCCCACTCACCTACTTTCTCTGTTCAGTCTGGGGCTTGTCTAATTTTCAGTGGTAGAGGATGGACTATTGGTTAGTCAAAACAAAAGAAGCACTTGTCTTATGTAGCAAGGTAGTTTATTGCATGATAGCAATAGGCACAGTTTACATTACCTCACTAGATAGAATTACCAAGGACGCTTGAGGACTGTGGAGAACACATCTGCTCGCTTTGGCAACTGTACACATCTCAACTGTCTCCACCTAAAGACCATGTAACTTTATCAGATTGGATGGAGCTCAATGTGACATGAACATTTATTCCTTCAGAAGCAGTATTGTATACACCTCAAATATTGAAGGAAGGGATCTTTAAGTTACTTGTAGAAACCTACAGCTATGAGATTGAATGATGTTCATACCACACAGGTGACAGACAATGACTACTTTCAACAAGTGATAACCTAACCATTGCATTTTGCATTCAATGGCATTACCAACACAGAATCACCCAACTATCAACATTCTTTGGGTCATCACTGACCAGAAATTGAACTGGACTAGCCTTATAAATATGGTGGCTACAAGAGCAGGTCAGAGGTTAGGAATCTTGCAGTGTGTAACTCACCTCCTGACTTCCCAAAGCCTGTCCACCAACATTTACAACCCACAAGTCAGGAGTGTGATGGAATACTCCCCTCTTGCCTGGATGGGTGCAGCCCCAACAACACTCAAAAAGCTTGACATCATCCTGGACAAAGCAGCGTGCCTGATTGACACCACATTTACAAACATCCACTCCCTCTCCTACCGACGCTCAGTAGCAGCAGTGTGTACCATCTACAAGATACACTGCAGAAATTCACCAAAGTTCCTTAGACAGCACCTTCCAAACCCACGACCACTTCCATCTAGAAGGACAAGGGCAGCAGATACATGGGAACACCACCTCCTGCAAGTTCCCCTCCAAGCCATACCCTTCGAAATGTATCGCTGTTCATTTACTGTCGCTGGATCAAAATCCTGGAACTCGTTCCCTAATGGCATTGTAGATCTACCTGCAGCACGTGGACTGCAGTGATTCAAGAAGGCAGCTCACCACCAATTTCACAGCAGCAGGTTCGATGGACGAAGAACCTTGTCTGTTCTCATCCTAACAGGGACTCGGGAAGTGGGGAGGGCGAGCACATTTCTCTTCTAACCCCTATTGTTATTAATAGCAATTGTTAACATTGTGGTTAATTGTTGAACAGGTGAAAATGATGCAGAAAACAGTGGCCACATTTTCTAAGAGATGCAGAAGAGATGGAAATCAAGTACAGTATCAGTACCAGAGCTGAAAAAGCAGACCTCTTGTTTATTGGGACAAAGGATGAGTTAAAGTACTGCAGTGTAAGTTTTGTTTCACTTGCCGAACATGTACAATCACAAAATGAAGCTTCTGTGAAGTTAAATGTATGTCAGCCTATACAGTGTCTCCCATTGTAAATAATTCTGTACAATGCATCATTGGGAGACATGATTCAAAGTATAGATGCACATTAATGATGTTGAGTCTCATTTGTTATGTAATTTCACATACAGATAATATATACATTTGGAAGATCTCACTCACTGTGCAATGATGGTCATTGAAATATATAGATTAGGTAGCAAAACAGACATGTATTGAATGTTTCAATATGAATTGCATGAGTTCAAGCCAGTGTAAATTAAATCATGTAATTATGGTGAGAAACACAGAATGTTGCTATGTGCAGTATCTCTCTCCCTCTTTCACAAATGGGAACACAATGTCTCACTCCCACACACATTTACACACACACACACACACACACACACACCCTCTCTCCCACTTCCTCCCTTTGTCACAGTCTTTCTCACTCCCATACACAATGATGAAATGTGCATTATATGCTGAAGTGCACACATTAAGATTACACGGTCTGTTTGGAAGAAGTAATTTTAACAGAGACAAATTGTTTGCAACTTCTGAAAGTTTAGATGAGCTGGGACAAAACCATTTTTCCTTTTATGATGTCCAGGGGGTTGATGTAGCACCTGAACAGAGTTTCTTGTTAATAAGTATTTCAGTTGACAAAGTTCCTCAACTCTGGTGTACGATAGCACACTTTAAAAAAGAGAATTTGTAGGATTTAAAGTACCTTGATTTCAGTTTTCGTAATGTTCTTTTTCCCAATAAATTGCATAATTCTGAACTGTCTGCTACATTTCTGCAGCCTGGTGATCGTTTGAGACCCTTCATGCCCAGAATTAATCTAGTGAGTAAAATAGGCCAAATGTAATGTGTGCTATCTGTTCACTGAAGACAGCTACTGCAACCATTTTGGTTCCTGTACTGAGTGCCTACTGCTGAAAACAAGGGATGTAACAAAATAAAGATATTAATACAAATTTGCAGACGCATGATTAACATATTTATCAAGTTGCAGTTTTGCTTTTTAAATTTCGTGTGACAATGATTTCAGCACAGAGTATGTGAGAAGCCTCAGCAGTAAAATGATCACGGTTTCTAAGTCTCATCACTGATACCCAAGAAGATTGAAACTAGTCGGCTACGATTCTCAGTATGCACATCTGAAGACAACACCTGAAGCATTTTTTTGCCAGCCAACCTTACCACTCAGATTTAAATTTACTTTTTGTAAGCTCTCTCTCTTTCTGTGTTCTGATATATCATTGGAAATTTGCTAAGACTGAGAATGCCCAAGAAAACAGTTTTAGGAGAAAGTAACCAGAACTCGCTTCATTTAAAACATTGAAAATTAGACATGATCTCTTCAAACGTTCCAAGTGATGTTTCAGAAAGAAAGACATATTAAAAGGTATCACTTACAGCTATGTGTGACCATATAAGCTTTCAACAATCCCCAATTTCTAATGGTTATCTTTATATTTTGTAACATAAATGCTTATATCACTTTTAGCTCATGTTGCTCAGGTACTATTCTAGAGTACAGGTTTAGAGTGCAAGTCTGGCACTTAGCATAGCTAAGCAGAACCAGTCAGGTAAGTACAGTTGGCAAAGAGGCAGATAAGAAAATATTAACTGGAATGTAAAGTCACATACTGAACAAGTGGACATTAGAAGTGAAAAAAAAGCTGTGACTCCATTTTACATGCAGAGATTTATTTATGTGAGGGGCATAATTTTATTTATTTATTGAGCAGTCATTAGTAAGGATCTCTGACAAATATATCTCCAGATCCATGGTAACAGTAGTGACCATTCTGACAACTAACAGTTTGTTAAGCATTTGCTGTGAGGAATTGATATGAACCAATTCAAACCACTTGAGCTTTGAGCTCCATTTGAAAATACTAGCTGAAACCTTGAAATAATTAAAACTGATCAAGATATAGAGACTGCATTTTATGCTCTTACTAATCCATTATTTTTGAGGCTATTGTAGTAATGTGACATTTTGCATGATATGAAGTTAAGTCTGAAATTCTGTCTTAAACTTGATTATTAACGCAGTCTTTCCTGAAGCATTTCAAACTCATGTAGACTAAATTTCTGGATTGTCACGCTGATGTGATATTTCAGCATATGTAAAACAGAGCAAGTTAAAGTGCTGTATAGATTCAAATGGTGCTGGAGATATATGAATGTTTGTGTTGATAAAATAGTTCACTCACACTTGACAAGGAAGGTTAAAGAGACAACTAGAGTTCTCCCAATGACTCAAGGGATGAATGCTTCATTTCGTATAATAACTGGAGATTCTGAAGGTGCTGGGGTTTCATCCTGTATCTGTACCACATTAGTTGTCCTGAATTGTAGTGATGACCATACAATTGATGGACTCTCTTTGAACTAGGCAGGTGACAAATCAGTTTGGATCCTGGTGACTATCTATTGACCTTTGCTGGGAACTCTACGTATGAACATGAAGGGGACATTAGGATTCTGCTGCACTGTAGCACCCTCTCACTAACCATTCATTTCTTTGACTTGGCTGTGTGTAGGTAGTTGAAACTCCATCCAATAAATTTTGTACTCCAATGAACTACTCCCAAGGGGGTGGGAAGCTGACAGCTACACGTAAGGTTGTAAGTTCATATTTTGGGGTTACAGACTCCAAGGCAGTACCATGGAGCTTTGAGTGAGTTATAACAACTACATTCCTGGTCTAATAGACAGGCCTCAGATCTCACACACCTCTACCCTCGTAGTTCTCACACACCTCCGCCCTCGTAGTTCTCACACACCTCCGCCCTCGTAATTCTCACACACCTCCGCCCTCGTAGTTCTAACACACCTCTGCCCTCGTAGTTCTCACACACCTCTGCCCTCATAGTTCTCACACACCTCTGCCCTCATAGTCCTGACAAGATTAGGGCCCCTTAAAGATCAGCAAGGCCACCTATGTGTGAAACCGCAAGAGATGGATGAGAGACTAAACAAGTGTTTTGCATCAGTGTTTACTGTGGATAAGGATATGGAAGATAGAGAACGTGGGGAAATAAATAGCGACATCCTGAAAAACGTCCATATTACAGAGGAGGAGGTGCTGGATGTATTAAAACGCATAAAGTTGGATAAATCCCCAGGACCTGATCGGGTGTACCCTAGAACTCCGTGGGAAGCTATGGAAGTGATTGCTAGGCTCCTTGCTGAGATATTTGTGTCATCGATAGCCACAGGTGAGGTGCTGGAAGACTGGAAGTTGGATAACACGGTGCTATTATTTAAGAAAGATGGTAAGGAAAAGCCAGGGAACTATACGCCACTGAGCCTGACATCGGTGGTGGGCACATTGTTGGAGGGAATCTGAGGGACAGGATTTACATATATTTTGAAAGGCAAGGACTGATTAGGGATAGTCAACATGGCTTTGCGCGTGGGAAATTGTATCTCACTAACTTGATTGAGTTTTTTGAAGAAGTGACAAAGAGTATTGATGAAGACAGAGCAGTGGACATGATCTATATGGACTTCAGTAAGGCGTTCAACAAGGTTCCTCATTGTAGAGTGATTAGCAAGGTTGGATCACATGGAATGCAGGGAGAACTAGCTATTTGGATACAGAACTGGATCGAAGGTAGGAGACAGTGGGTGGTAGTGGGGAGTTGCTTTCGGACTTGAGGCCTGTGACCAGCGGTGTGCCACAAGGATTGGTTCTGGGTTCACTGCTTTTGGTCATTTATATAAATGATTTGGATGTGAACATAGGAGGTATGGTGAGTACGTTTTCAGATGACACAAAAATGGGAGGTGTAGTGGACAGCGAAGAAGGTTACCTCACAGTACAATGGGATCTTGATCAGATGGGCAAATGGGCTGAGGAGTGGCAAATGGAGTTTAATTTAGATACATGTGAGGTACGCATTTTGGAAAGGCAAATCAGGGCAGGACTTATACACTTAATGTTATGGTCCTGGGAAGTGTTGCTGAACAAAGAGACCTTGGAATGTAGGTTCATAGTTCCTTGAAAGTGGAGACACAGGTAGATAGGATAGTGAAGAGGGCGTTTGGTATGTTTGCCTTTATTGGTCAGTGCATTGAGTATCAGAGTTGGGAGGTCATGTTGCGGCTGTACAGGACATTGGTTAGGCCACTTTTGGAATACTGTGTTCAGTTCTGGTCTCCCTGCTATAGGAAGGATATTGTGAAACTTGAAAGGGTGCAGAAAAGATTTACAAGGATGTTGCCAGGGTTGGAGGGCTTGAGCTACAGGGAGAGGCTGAATAGACTGGGGCTATTTTCCCTGGAGCATCAGGAGCTGATGGGTGACCTTCAAGAGGTTTATAAAATCATGAGGAGCATAGATAGGGTAAATAGATGAGGTCTTTTCCCCACGGTGGGGGAGTTCAAAACTAGAAGACACAGGTTTAAGGTGAGAAGGGAAAGATTTAAAAGGGACCTAAGGGCAACTTTTTCACGCAGAGGGTGGAGTGAGTATGGAAGGAGCTGCTAGAGGAAGTGGTGGAGGTTGGTACAATTGCAACATTAAAAGGCATCTGGTGGGTATATGAATAGGAAGGGTTTAAAGGGATATGGACCAAATGCTGGCAAATGGGACTAGATTTATTTAGGATATCTGGTTGGCATGGACAGATTGGACTGAAGGGTTTGTTTCAGTGTATATAACTCTACGACTCTATGACTATGAAAGGTCATGACAAATTTTAAGTCTCAAATTAAGGTCACAGTGGGAAAAAGTTTGTGAAGCACTGAACTATTCATACATGCATATAAAAGATAATTTCATGTAACAATACATTTTCTCCCCAAAATATCTTGTGGAGTCCATTTGTTGACATCATCAATTAGATGGTGATAGAATTCCTGGGGCTGAAACATAAGAAAAGATTGGAAAGCCAATCATTTCATATTCTAACCCAGAACTGACAATTTATAAGCAATTGAAACACTTTGGAGTATCCTGAGGTGGCAAAAGGGGCTATGTAAGTGCAAATTTGTCAAAAGGGTCAGGATGACTTGACAAGGAGGAGGAATGGAGCATCCAATACAACAGAATATAGTTTTTTAAAAATAATTTTACTCAAAAGAACGATGGAGAGAAGTCAATGCCTTCCAGTTAGAATTAGATGTAATAAGTGGTTGATATAATTAGAGCTAAAAGTTAAATTAAATAGTGTTGATTTTATCAAACAGCATTCACAGTATCATAGTGTGATACAGCACAAAAAGCCATGCAGCTTGCTGTACTGGTTCTTTGCTGGAGATGCCCAGTTGGCCCCACTCCTCTTTTTTTCCCACATAAGTCTTCCAGTACCTGCATGTATTTAATTCCTTTTGAATACTCCCATTGAATTTGTTTCCTTTCAGCCAGTGCATTCCAGATCACAAAATACTGTGTTTTTAAAAAAGGGTTTAGTCCATGTTCCCTCTGTAACTTTTGCCAATTGCCTTGAATCTGTGTTCTCTCACTATTGATCCTTTTGGCATTATAAACAGTTTCTCCTCATTTACACTGTCCAAACCCTTCATAATTTTTAATATCTCTGACAATTCTTTCTCCACTCTGAGAAGAACAGTCACAACCTTGCAGACAGAATCCGAGGTAGTTGCCATTCCAGAGGCATTTTTCTCAGCGTTTGGTTGGGAGGAGGAGGTGATTAAAAGCAGTTAAAATGCCAAGAGGAAGGGTCACCAGACCCGAAACGTTAACTCTGTTTTCTCCTTCACAGATGCTGCCAGACCTGCTGAGCTTTTCCAGTAACTTTGTTTTTGTGCCAAATATGTTGTTGTGAAAAGGGTTTAAAGTTGTAAGAAGTACAACAGATGGCGATGTTGCACTGCCAGACGCAAGCAGCAAAGAATTGATTTCTATTGCCATCTACTGGTAGAACGAGAACTACAGTTAGTCATTTTCTGAAGAAGGGTCGAGGCCCGAAACGTCAGCCTTCCTGCTCCTCTGATG